GAATTGGGTCTGAAACATGGGAAGTGTTTCCTTTGACTTTTATTATTGTAGATATTAGTCCTCTGTCAGATGTATAGCTAGAAAAGATTCGCTGACATTCAGTGGGTTTCTTCATGCAACTGTTTCCTTAGTCATACAGAGCTATCTTGTTTTATGAGGCTCTAGTTTTCAGTGTTGATCTTAATTCCTTGGCAAATGGAGTTCTATTCAGAAAGTCCATTCCTATGCACATACCTTTCTGAATACTGTCTATATTTTCCTCTAACAATTTTAATTTGTTGAGTTTCAAATTGAGGTCTTTGATCCACTTAGATCCAATTTTGTACAAGGTGATACATATCTAATTTAATTCTTATGCATGTAGACATTTTTTCCTAGCATCATTTGTTGAAGATGCTTTCTTCATGGATGCTTTTTGCTTCATTGTTAAATTCAGGTAGCTGAATTAACAAATACTCATGTTTGCATCTGCTATCTTGTTCCATTGGTCTAAATGCCTGTTGGGGGGGTTGGGGTTTTTTTAACCAGTGCCATATTGTTTGTCTTACTATAGCTCCATAACAGATCTTGAAGTCTGGAATACAAATCTCTCTAATATTCTTCTTTCTGCTCAAGATTACTTTGGCTATCTGGGATCTTTTCTGATTCCATGTGAATTTTAGGATGGGTTTTCTCTGTTTCTTTGAAGAATGTTGTGGGTACTTAGATTGGTATTACATTGAATCTATAAAACACTTTTGATAGGATGATCATTTTACACTATTTACTCTATCAATTTGTGACCATGAGGTGTCATTCACCTCCTAGTGTCTTTTTCAATCTCTTTCTTAAGAAATTTGGAAGGTTTCTGTGTAGTGGTCCTTCACCTCCTTTCTTTGGTTTATTCTATGATATTTTATTGTCTTTGATGCTACTGTAAATGGAAGTGTGTTCCTGCTCAGTGTGTTTGCTGTTGATGTACAAAAAGTCTACTAATTTTTGTAAGTTGATGTATATTGCCATGATTTTGTATCTTGCCACTGCTGAAACTACTGGTTGTTTCTAGAAGTTTCCTGGTAGAATTTTTGAGATCTCTTATGTATATTATAATATCTTGTGAAAGCGATTATAACTTAACTTTTCTTTTTTGTGTCTCTTTAGTTTCCTTTTCTTGCCTTATTGCTTCAACTAGTACTTTGAGTACAATATTGAAAATTAGTGGGAATAGTAGGCAGCCCCCTCTTGTTTCTTATTTTAATGTAATTGCTTAGAAGTTTGGGGGTATTGTTCCCGTATATAGCCTTTATTATATTGAGGTATGTTCCATTCATTCCTATTCTCTATAAGACTTTCATCATGAAAGATCTTTGAATTGTGTCAAAGGCACTGTCTGTATCTATTGAAATGATCATGTGACTTTTGTCGTTAATTCCATTTATATGATTTCTTTTATTTATTGTCATGTGTATGTTGAACCAACTCTTAATTTCCAAGATAAAGCCAACTTGATCGTAGTGGATAATCTTCTTGATATGTGCCTATATTTGGTTTTCAAGTGTTTTATTGAGAATTTTTCCATCTATGTTCATCAGGGATATCTGTCTGAGTTTTGTATTCCGTTGTGTCTTTACTTGACCTGGGTATTACATTAATACTTTTCCTAGAGCCAGTGTGGGAATGATCACTCTAGTTTTATTTTTTGAAGAGTATGAATATTGTTTATATTCTTCTTAGAAGTGTATTAGAATTCTGTTGTGAATCAACTTTGGTCTGGATTTTTCCAATATCAAGACTTTTTATTTTTGCTTCAATACCCTCTTTTGTTATGTGACTGTTTAGGTTGTTGGTCTTGTCTTGATTTAAGTTTGATAGTGTGAATGAATCAAGAAGTTCATCCAGCTTTTTCTTGTGGTGCTTCACCAGTGGTCAACTGTGCTAGATGAAATTGAATAGCTCCTTCTTCAGCCATCAGCTGTCAGAAACTCTCTGAAGTGACTGATGAATGCAAACTTCATACTTTGTATGAGAAGTGCACAGCCTCAGAAGGCGCTGCGGATGCTTTTGGTGAAGAATGGGAGAGTTGTATGATCAAAATCAGTGTTGGGAAGGAAAGGACATAAAAGGTTTTCCATGAAGGTGCTTCAACTCAGGGAAAATTGTGTTTGCTGTTGAGTGAAGGGCATTCTTGCTATAGACCAAGGGACTAAAGAAAGGAAGTACATTCTGTTCTCAGATGCACTGTGGATTTCTGAGCTCAGCGATCTCAGCATGGTTACTAATATAGAAGGAGGAGAAGGAGGGGGAGGGAAAGGATATTCCTGCACTGGCTACTACCGTGCCTTGCATGTGTCCGATGTGAGAATCTGGACTTCCTTTAGACTGGGTGAATGCAAGAGATGTGCAACCTGAGTGAGGCCAGATAAAGCTCAGGATGAACTGTTTATTTGGGCCAGGGAAAGATGACTCCCAAACTAGAAGTCATCCGTGCAAAGAGACTTACGAATGAAGAGGATTAATGTCCACAGGTCTGGCAATAGTCTTCTAGATTTGCAGATAGCAGCATGTCAGAGAAAAGGGAGGCAAGTGAAAGAAATGATTTATCCAGGAAAGGAGGCTCACACATAAATCCAGGTAATATATTCTAATAATGTGTCATTGGGTAATGTTTTCATTGAATAAACTTCATGGAATATATTTAATTAAACTAAGAAAGCTGCCATCTTACTATATAGTATAATCCTGTGAGGACCATTACTATGGCACTCTCCATCATTGATCAAAAACCGGTGTCTAGCCCATGACCACATGGCAGCTCATTCATTTCCTAACCTTACTAATGCTTCCACATTTATATGAGTTACAGTTTTATACATTTAAGCACAATGCAGATTTTAATTATTGTTGTGTCCAGTTACCTTTTAAGCAATTAATGAATTACAAAGCAACAGATTAGAATCACTTACAAAGTCTATCTATATAATCATTTTCACTGGTACTCTATTGAGTCTGGTTTCTTTCTAAAGTAGGTTGCTAGTGATGAATTCTGTCTACATTTGTTTGCCTGCAGAAAAAGTATCTCTGCTTCTTTGTTGCCTGAGATTTTCATTTCTGGTCATTTTTTATTTATTTTATTAAATTATTAATATTTTCACATGTACTTTCCCTCTCCCTCTCCCTCCCTCCACCCCCATTCCTTCTACCCCACCTCCAACCTACCCCCCACCCCATCCACCCGCCACTCCCCAGGCAGGGTAGGGCCCCCAACCAGGGCTCCACCAAGTCCACCAAATCTTCCTGTGCTGGGCCTAGGCCCCTCCCCATGTGTTCAGAGACAGAGCGAATCCCTTCAAGTGGGATGGGCTCTCGAAGTCCCTCCCACCCACCAGGGCAAAACGCCAGTCGACCTCCAGAGGCTCCCAGGAGTGCAGGGGCCTCCCCATTGGCATCCATGATCAGGGGGCTGGATTAGTCCTGTACTGTCCTCCCAAAGAGCATCTGGGGTCGATATGCTTTCCCTTTTTCAGGCCAACTGTTTCTGTGGGTTTCTCCAACCAGGTACAGACCCCTTCGTTCTTCATTCCTCCCTCTCTTCAACTGAGTTCCAGATTTCAGCTCAGTGTATTTCTGTGGATGTCTGTCTCTGCTCTCATCAGCCACTGGATGAGGACTCTAGAATAGCATAGAGAGTATTCATCAATCTCATTCTAGGGGAAGGTTTGTCTTTTTGTGATTGGGTTACCTCACTCAGGATGGTTTCTTCTAGTTCCATCCATTTGCCTGCGAATTTCAAGATTCCATTGCTTTTTTCTGCTGAGTAGTACTCCATTGTATAAATGTACCACATTTTCTCTTTCCATTCTTCAGTTGAGGGGCATCTAGGTTGTTTCCAGGTTCTGGCTATTACAAACAATGCTGCTATGAACATGGTTGAACATATGTCCTTGTTGTATGGACAAGCAGTATTTGGGTATATACCCAAGAGAGGAATGGCTGGATCTTGAGGTAGATTGATTCCCATTTTTCTGAGCAACCGCCATACTGATTTCCAAAGTGGTCTTACAAGTTCACACTCCCACCAGCAATGGAGGAGTGTTCCTTCTTCTCCACAACCTCTCCAGCATAGGTTGTCATTGGTATTTTTGATTTTAGCCATTCTGACAGGTGTGAGGTGGTATCTCAGAGTTGTTTTGAGTTGCATTTCTCTGATGGCCAAGGATTTTGAGCACTTTCTTAAGTGTCTTTCAGCCATTTCAGATTCCTCTGTTGAAAAATCTCTGTTTAGTTCTGCACCCCACTTTTTAATTTCATTGTTTTGGTGTTTTGGTGGCTAGCTTCTTGAGCTCCTTGTATATTTTGGAAATCAGTCCTCTGTCAGATGTGGGGCTGGTGAAGATTTTTTCCCATTCTGTGGGTGGTCGTTTTGTCTTACTGACTGTGTCCTTTGCCTTACAGAAGCTTCTCAGTTTCAGGAGGTCCCATTGCAGACCTCAGTGTCTGTGCTTCTGGCGTGATGTTCAGGAATCGTTCTCCTGTGCCAATTTGTTCAAGGGTTGTTCCCACTTTCTCTTCTAAAAGATTCAGTGTGGCTGGGTTTATGGAGAGATCTTTGATCCATTTGCACTTAAGTTTCGTGCATGGTGACAAGTATGGATCTATCTGCAATTTTCTGCATGTTCGAATCCAATTGTGCCAGGACCATTTGTTGAAGATGCTATCTTTTTTCCATTGTATGGATTTAGCCCCTTTGTCAAAAATAAGGTGTTCGTAGGTGCGTGGGTTAATATCTGGGTCTTCAATTCGATTCCATTGGTCTGTCTATTCTTGTGCCAATACCAAGCTGTTTTCAGAACTATGGCTCTATAGTAGACCTTGAAGTCAGGGATGGTGATGCCTCCAGAGGATCTTTTATTGTAAAGAGTTGTTTTGGCTATCCTAGGTTTTTTATTTTTCCATATAAAGTTGAGTATTGTTCTTTCAATGTCTGTGAAAAACTGTGTTGGGATTTTGATGGGGATTGCATTAAATCTGTAGATTGCTTTTGGTAGAATTGCCATTTTTACTATGTTAATTCTGCCTATCCAAGAGCACGGGAGATCTTTCCACTTTCTGGTATCTTCTTTAATTTCTTTCTTTAAAGTTTGTTAGGTTGGACCACTGAATTCTGTCCCACCCTCCCCATGGCTATCCAGTGTTTTGCTGTTGATCATTTCTGTTTGGGCTGAGGTTTTGTTCATTTGCTTCTTAGCCAAGTGGTACTGAACTGGCAATCCTCCTTCTTGGGCCTCTCTAGTATGTCATCATGCCTGGTTTGGTCATGGTGACCTGTGATATTTGTTTATTGACAATCATGAGTTCATTGGATTCTTTGTTCTCACTAGATTAAGATTTTTTTTCTCTTTGGAACTAGTAATTTGAGTTTGATATGCCAAGTTATGAATCTATCTAACCCTGTCTACATTTACCAGCATTAGAGATCACTGGGCTTCTTTGATACTAAAACTACACTTAGTGTTTGCTGCTGGACATTATACATTTTAAATAAATTAATGTAGGGGCTCTGGAAATTGGAAACCCCTTACCGATATTACTGTGGTTGTGTTTTACTGAGGTGGTGACTACTGTTTGATTGATAGAGACTTAGTTAACCTATTCTATAATGCTTCTCTTCTTGCTAGTGATACTCACTAAAGCTATTTTCTGATCATCACAGGCATCAGTTAATGTTTGGACACAGCTCTGCTTAGATGCCTTGAACCAGTTATCTTTTCCTCTATCTTTTTCATTCGCCCAGTTATCTATATCAAATTCTGGATAGTTCCTTAAACTTAGCTCTCTTATCATGTGTAAGCTTTAGAGCCTTGTCTAATCTGTTAAGATCACAACTATCCTTTAAATTTCAATTTTGCATTTCAGCAATAGAATTTTGTTGTATATACTGTCTAAATTTACTTTCTGTCTTATCTCAGATATTATTTTGCTGCTATATTTCTCGATGTATTTTATCTTCCTGTGTTTTGTGTCTCTTACATTAAGTAACTTTCTCTAGCAAACATTTCATTTACAGTATTCTAATTCTTTGGATTCTGTGGCATATTGAACTAGAGCTTTTTAATTATCTAGAGCCACAAGATGTTAATATCCAGTGTTATATATCTAGATGCCTCTTCAAAGTAGATAATGCAAATCTCGACAGATTTTTTAGGTAGGGATGATCTAAGCAGAAGAATTTAAAATAGAAAGGTTATGAAAACAATCTGAGTACTTGACCATAGAGAAATATGCATTCATTTGTTGGAATTGAATGCAGCCATTGTTAATAAAATTTTCAAGTAACTTTTGTAACCTAATAAGCTGTTTATAATTTAATATTAAGTGACATTTTAGGATAAATATGGTTTCTATAATTATTTCCAAAAATGAAATTATTTATAGTATTACAAAAACAAAAGAAAGAAAATATTCTTAAAGATGATGACATGAAAATTATTTTAATTATGTTCTTTATAATTTAATACAATTTCTGCATTCAGAATTTATAAAACACCACTCATATTTAAAATGAAATGAATTCAAAATAAAAGAAAACCTCTTGAAGTTTCATATATTTAAGAAGAAGGCAATTAGTCCGCACAGCCCCTCTCTCCAGCCTGGTTGGTATGCTTTCGGGCCCTTTATTCTCTCCAGTGCTGTTGACATATTTGTTTTTGTAGCTGTCAGATTGTCACAATGTTTTCTTTAGAGATGGGGGCTCCGAGGCATCTTCTATCTTTCATATCTCTGAATACAACCCCAGGGGTGAATTCATGATGAATATTTAAGTTTTCAGAAAGGTTGTGAGTAGCTCATCTTCTGGGTCATGACAACTGACAGCCTGTACAATATTCTAACGAGGGTGATGACAAGAGTCTGAACTAGTCACAGTGCAGACTCAGTCTTCTGACATCATTTACATAAATCAATGATATCTGAATGAACTCATCCCAGAATTATTAAAAATAACAACTGGATAATGGGATAATAATTGAGACCAGTCCTGTTTTAAAATTTATATTTGAATAACAACTCTCCATGCTGTCACCGTTCACCTTTCCTCTCTGCTGGTGTTTTAGCACAGTATCACTCATTATCATTCTTTCTTATAGAAACAGTTTTCCCTTTTCATTATACTAATAAAACAATGACTTCTTGTCGGTACGCCAAGTAATTAATCCTCTGCGAGTAGGCCTGCTTTAATTTAAACATGCTAATCTTTTGCACTTTTCAAGTAGGAAATGAGACATCACCTAACAGATAATTAGTTTTTGCAGTTCCACTTTATATCCCACAAATGATGGGGAGAGATTGAATCACATATCAGCCAGAAAACATCCACTCCACAGGCTTCACTGCATGGAAATGTCTGAAGACAGGTAGCATAACAATTGTTTGTCAAAGGAGAACTTAAAATGTTTGTGCTAGAAAGTCAGATGTAGGAAGACATCACAGAGAAAAGAAACGACTTAAGTAGGCCTAAGTGAAGAACAAATTGGAAACACGTTAAAATATTTATTTGTCTAATTGTGTTTTGATTTCCCCTGGGAAGAAACTGAGAGTAAAGCCTGTTGAAGAAGGGATTATTTCCAATGTAAACTTTTTTAGCAAGCTGAGCTCCAGAGCAGTTAAGACAAACCCTGATAATTCCAGAGAGATGAGTTCAACCAACACAGACAGCATTAACAAATCCAGTCTAGAAAGTGCCCAAGGTAAGTAGATTATGAATGGGTTTTAGGAGACCTGTTTGTTCATGGCTAAAAATCAGCCCAATAGAAATGAAGCATTGAAGCTGATAACATTGAGAAGTATCTTGCAATTGTTAGGCTGGGTTAAAAGTCAAGTCCATATAAAATAAATTCTTCTATCAAATCTACTGTATCATAAACAGAAATGGAGACATGGAGTCTCATTATGCAAGTAAGGAAAAAGGACTAATATAAATAAGTTATAACTTTCCATATAAATGCTACAAAAATTGATATGGAAAAAAGTAAATTAAGAAACTGGAAGTTTAATCACAAAGGTAGTCAGCAATAGTCTCAAATATCTATGTACAAAAAAAAATCACAAAATGTGAGAGCAGCCCTAATAGAGAACTCTGAAAATACCACAATGACTAGCATTCACAGTGAACATCTTTAATAATGAGAATACGAAAAAAATAGTAACATGATCGAATGTAAAGGGTGAATCTAAGAACTGTGCCTGTGATATACTTACCATAAAAATATAGTCTTAGTCAAAAAAATATCATACACCAGAAAATTTCAACTGAGGGGTATTCCCCCTTAAAAGATGCAACATTAGGAACAAAGGCAAAATGAGCAATGTTTCAGACCAAAGGAGTCCCAGAAATACAATTACAGCGATCCACAGATTCACACACTTTATCCTAGAGAGTATGTGAACAGCTAAAGTGCATATGTGACACCAAAAACAACCGGCCTGCTTACATTAGGCCAATCCCTATAACTCTATATAGTAGTTAACATATTAGGAAGAGAAAGTATTGAATTATTGTAGCAAGTGGGAAGCAGGTGAATTTAGATCAAGTACAAACAATTACTCCTTGAGACAGACCAATGATGCATAAGGAAACTTGCTACACCTTACTTCAGTACTTCCTTCTCTCAGAGACATCAGAGGCATTGCACATATGGATTTATCTTAAATAGGTGTAAAGACTGTGATACAGTGATCCAAGCATCCATTGAAATCCATCTTTGATTATTTCCATAGCTATGGAAGCAATGATTTTGTTGTTGTTGTTTGAGACAAGGTTTCTCTGTGAAGCTTTGTAGACCAGGATGGCCTCGAACTCACAGATATCTGCCTGCCTCTGCCTTCTGAGTGCTGAGATTAAAGGCATATGCCACCACTGCCCAACAGAAGCAATAATTTAATGAACAAAACTTTTCAAATTTTCAGTGATGAAGACCTCAACAGCAGAAGCTGTGGGTACCAGATATTGTGACTAGAGAAGCAGATACACATGCCAACATGACTACTTTACCCTGCAAATATCCCTATCACTTGACAGCACTACAGTAACCATCACCTATTCTCCAGTATTATGTTTCTTCTCCCTATGTTGTTTAGCTTTTCTAATTCTTTTGTAAATTCTCCCAAAAAGATACTTTGCTAAGATGATAGCAACTGGGCTTCTAGAAAATGGACAGTTAGGGCTGGAGTCTGTTCATTTGAAGTCCACATGCACTGAACCTGTGAAGATAAGCTTTCACATTGCAGGGTAGAGAAACCACTCATCCTTATATCAAAGAAGTTGGGGTGCTGCTAAACAAGGGGGTCTGAAATAGTTAATCTTGTTGCTCTGACCAAAAGAAGTCACCCGAAGAAGGAAGGCTTTCCATAGGCTTCCTGTTTGAGAAGACACGGCCTACCACTGTGGAGAACACATGACTGTAGATAGTTCTACAAGACTAGGGGACATCTGACAGGTACTTTCTCACTTTACCAGCAGAGTAGGAATCAGAAAGAGGGTCATGATCAGGGTTTAGCTATCTAAATCAAGCTCTCTGCAACACACACCAATAGTCTACTTCCTCTAGCAAGGCCCACTTCCCAAAGGTTTCCCAATCTCCCACAACATAGCCAACATCTAGGGAAAAAATGCTCAAACATTTGAGCTCATGGGGAACAATTGTATTCAAATCATACTAAGGCTTTAGGCCTTACATAGAGTCAAGGTCTTAGAGTGTTTAAGTATTTTCAGGTGCAGAGTAAAGGTTATTGCAAAATTGGGCTAAAGATAGAGTTCAGTGGTTAAGCAATTGCTTAGCATGTGTGGAGACTTTGGCTCATTCCCCAATACTGCGCCATAATAACTAAGATTTTTAAAGGTAATGGAAAATCACAACAAATGAAAACAGACATGAGGGCACAGTCACTTCAGAAATGGAATGTTGGTCACTCAGCTACATCAAGAATTCCAATTCACTGAGTGAGGTCTTTGACTAAGAGTTAAGGGACAATGTGGGTAGGACAGTATCCCTGTGCCTTATGCTCAGAAATGAGGCTGCATAGGACTGTGCTTTCCCTGTGCCATATACATATTCACTCCAGTGAATTAACAGACCCTCAGACCCTACATTTTAACTTCTAGATTTCCTTATATCATCCATGTGATTGGTACTTGTTAAACACATTTGAGGGTAAATCAGACTGCATGTACAGCTAATTGCATGCATGCTGAAAAGGATAATTTATGCTTTCAATAAAAATTTAAAGTATTTTCATAAACGCTATAGGAATTCATATTCACTCAGAAATATGTGTCTGTCTGTCTCAATGCTGAGCCCTACCTTTTATCCTAAGATTAACCCAAACTCTTCACTAATTTCATAAGTGAAAGGTTAAAAAATTCTTGTGGCATAAGCCTCTGCTTTAATCATTTCTAAATTTCCTCCCAAATAGAAAGTGTTCAGTAAATACTTTGTTAATTTTAAAATATGAATTAATAGCCTGGTGCAACATTACAATCGTTTTCAAGAGGTCTCAAAACACTGGCAATTATAATGCACCTTCCTTGTGTGTTTGCATTGGTGACTAAATTCTGCATCTCATACACACCATGAAAACAATCATGTTAAGCTGGGAATTGACATTTCAAAAATAAATGTAATCAAGAGAGTGCTTTCTGAACATATCCACTCTGATTTATCATCTTGTAAATATTTTTTCTCCCACTTACATACCCAGAATCCGTGAGATTTCGCACAGTTTCATATATTACTCTTTTTATAAGCCTCCACTGTGTGCTACTGAAATATTCCACTTACAAGTCAAGGGAATTTCAAGGCTACAGATGATGGCACCAAACTTCCACAATTACCCAAGTTCGTAGGCCTGTTTCCTTTCTAAAATGCACCTGCTGTTAGATTTGCCATAGCTTTATGAAGTACTTAGATACTAACCTGAAGTCAACATGTTGAATTGGGGAGAACACTTGATGGCTTGTTTGTGTCAAGGGCATTTGTGACTATCATTGCATCATTTTTTATTTGGAAAATAAAACTTCATTCTCTCAATAAATGCTAGAGAAGTTGAGAAAGACAGCTGACATTGCTCTCTGGCCTCCACATGCATATGCACACATGTGCATGTACACACAAATAAGAACACATAATGCACACACTAAAGGAAAACCTAAAGTTTGTAGTAATCACAATTGTTATTTTCATGTTTCTAATTTTTCTATCTTTAGGAGCTATTAGGAAAATGGGTATTTTGTGAAAAAATGCCATTATGCCCTATACTATGACCCATTATTATCTCCAAGAAGCTATATGATTAACATTTTAGGGAAATAACATCATAAGAATCTGTAGTAAATTGCCCTAGTATCTGATAAAAGAATGGCTGTCCAGGAGGAGGAAGGGACATATTAAGTTCAGCAGCAAAAGTGATTTGAGAAACTTAAAGGGCTCACATGCCCATTGTGATTGGTATGTCACCATTGATCTAGTAAGTCCCAGGGCACCACTCATTCCAACTGATGTATAATTTAAACCATGGTTAGAAACATGCATGCAGAGATAAGAAAGGAGAAGGAGAGAGGGGGAAGGGGAAACCATTAGTCTTATTTGTCATATTCTTCTTTATGGACAAGTAATGCTGTATTTTTTCCTTCATATGTGTCTCCAGTTAGGTATTCAAGATCTTAACCATATTTTGTTTTTATTTTAGGTTTCTCCAGTGCCAGAAAAAATATCTATTCCATTCCATAATCTAACCTGTAATCACTGTGTGGTATCCTAATGTGGCTTCCATTACTCAACAGCCATATTTCCCCTCATCTTAATATATTGTTCTTACTGGCAAGTGTTGTGGTGAACCTAATTTGTTTGCACTTCCATCACTTGTCTCAGAAAGTCACCTATTCACAGGAACTCGGTTCCAGAAACTCCTTCCATGAAAAACAGATCAAAATAATTTTTGCTCTTCTGTTCTTTATTAGTAACTGCCATCACCAACTAAAAAACGCTCCCTTTTAAAACATCCATATGCACCCCAATCTAGATGTTCTTTCTAGACAGAAAGCGTGTTTCTTCCCCTTATTCTTTTGATACACAGAAACAAGGTCATATGGGTTTATATTGATTTATTGATTCCCTCCGCCCAGCAGTAGGTTTAGATTCCAGCCAATCCACCTAGGTTTCATCTTCCCACATGTGCAAATACAGCAAAATCCAGCACAGAGCAGACCACAACAGTGAATTTCCAAGGTAACAAGAGTTACAAGCTATTCTTCAGGCCTGAAAATATGAGATGAGTGAGACAAAATATAATATCCAATGTAAGTGATGAAGTCAAGAGATGTTTTACCTTATGAAAGGGATGCAGGAAAAAGAAGCCTGTAAGGGAGTGTTTTAGTCAATTCAAAATAAAATACATTATTAGAAACCATGTATTTTATAAAACATAATCTTCTACATATATTTCTATGCTTTTATACAGACTAAGGAAGTGACAAAAAAGATTTTTTCTTGTGTTCTTTTTGTTGTTATTTTGCTTTGTTTTAGAAAAAAATGGTCATTTATACCATTTAGACCCAAAGTTTATTGTATTGAACTTTGGACAGTACTTTGGAGTCACAAGGAGGTAACCAGGACCCATTTATTTAGCAGTTCTCTGTAGACTATCTCCTAAATGACAGGCCTCTTTTAACTGTTGAAACCATAGAAGCTGATATTATAGTTAAGATCTCAGAGATCATGGAGATGAAATTCATAGTGACTTATGCTCTAGTATAAAGATAGGCAAGAGGGTGGGGGGAGACAGACAGACAGACAGACAGGCAGGCAGGCAGGTAGGCAGGCAGGCAAGCAGGCAAGCAGAGACAGAGACAGACAGAATTTTAGGTGGTGGCCTGAGTTGGGAGGCCAATAGCCCTTATTGATATGATAAAAAGATATTCAAACATGGTTGACAAGGCCGTAGCAACATTGTAAGCCTACACTAAAAGAAAATGGGTGATACAGAAATTAAATTCCAGAAATCATCATAGAAATTAGGTAATATGGAACAAATGGAGCAAAATGGCTACTGACAATGTTCCTTCTGCTATGGTCTTCCAGCAGACACATGGGTTTGCACAGCTGTTCTCACACCAAACTGTTCACCATGAAGCCAGGAGAAAGACAGCAATATCTTATCTCAGTTCGTTGTTGAACGATGCCTTGAAGAAGGTCCAAAGAAAGAGCTGCCTTTCCACACTTCAGCTACACTGTCCTGTTTGAAGAGAGATGCCTCATAGGTGAGGAGGAGAGAGCTTAAGTCCTGAGACACATAACCAGTTGTGACAAGATGAAATCCAGTGCTGAACAAGACCCCATTCACACCAACCCCAGGTCAGCACTCACAGACTGAGCCCCTAGTGTCACATTAGAATGCTGCCTGCCTGTCTCCACCAGCTCACTGTCCTTCAACCTTAGACTGCAGAAAGAGAGACAAGACTGTCCTACCGGGTACAAAGCATAAAAATTGCCTCAAGAATTAATCATGAATTCAGTACTGTGAGATTCAACACCAGAAAATACCCAACAGGCCACTTAGGCCAGAGCTCACAGAGGGGAGCTCTATACCCACCCAAACAGCACACACATGCCTGTGTACCAGTGGAATAAACTATCATTATGGCCTACATTCTTGGCATCCTGTGGAATGTAGAGAGTAAGGTCAGGGACACCTTACACAAGGCTGCAAAATTAGCATGTAAGAAAAATAAGTTGGCAGTGAGGGAAATGCCCTTTTCATGTCAGAAGGTAAACTCATTCTAGTACCAACATGCACACCCCAGAGTAGAGATGTAAGATGTTACTAGGGCACACAGTCTCTGCTGTAGTCCTGCATCTCTACTCCATTCCTTGTTTGGAGCTAAAAGAACCTGGAACCTGTGGTGGGTGAACTTCCAACCTTATCCAACCCATTTTCACTTGGGGTGGTCACAGGGCAACCATCCTCACACTTCACAAGTACCTGTAGCTGTGAGACTCAAGTGTGATCCAGCTAGTGAGTGCCATAATTGGTAACGAAAATATTGTCTCAGTGGCCAATCCCCAAACTTTAGTTAACAGAACTAGCTCCAGGCCAGTGCACAAAGACAGGGCCTTCAGTCTTTCCTGTACCAGGCAGAGAGTTGAGCTCCAGTGAGACAGTCTCACATTTATGCAACAACTGTGGTGTGGGCCTAGTGCCCCCCAGAGATCATGTAGTTCCTTGCAGGTGTGAGACTTAGACACCATCCAGTTGTGTCCACCCCGGTGATGGGTGACTATGCCAGTTGTGTCCACCCCAGTGTTGGGTGACTATGCCAGCATTACCCAGCACAGCATGAAGCAAGACTCTGTTCGTTGATGGTAAGACAGAGCAGAATATAGAGCAGAGGATTTGACCTTAGATCACAATGCCAGAATAGTGAATCCTAACACTGGACAGATCCTAGAAGTCTCCATTCCCAGACCAATATCCTCAAACAGAACTTCTAGGACAGCCTTGGCATCAGTGACAGAGATATGTGGTCTCAGTCCATTTGATTTCAGTTACTCTGGCATTGACTACAGTAGTTCTGGGCCATGAGTCCACCTCAGCAACAGAGAGTTCATAGCTTTGTGATCCTGGCTCTGTCTTGAGTGCTCAGCTCAGAGGTCACTGGGCTCAATGTATGATATTGGTGTCCACAGGAATAACAAAAACCTGCAGCTGGTCCCTCAACCATGAACCAGGCAGAAACTTACAGCTGACTATAGAGTCCTGTGACTGCTTATGAACCCCAGGGAGAGGAAGGAACTATTCTTTTGAGCTGTTTCCCCAATTCTTATTGGACAGGATACCAACTACAGGTTTAGAAGAATCCTAGGCTTGGATTGCCCTCCAGTGGTGAAAGGTGACAACACACCAACAGGAGACAGACTGACCCTGAAATTGGGTACCACAATGAAAGTGGAGAGAGGAGGTGGGGAGATCCTGCGTCCTGTTTAGAATGTCTGGAAATATGGACACAAACAAACCAAATTAAGACAGGAAATATCTTCAATGCCCAGAAAATATTTCATAGAAAATACCAAAAACTATCAAGAAAGCATGACGTCATTCAAAAGTCAAAATAAGTCTCCAGAAGTGACGAAACCACCACCAATCTGAGTTAACACTTGGATTGAGAGTTTAAAACTTTAAAGGGAACTCAATGAGCTTGAAGAGAAACAGAAGTTTCTAACTCAAAAACTTAACATAGAGAAGAAAGCTATTTAAAAAAGCAAACAGACCTGTAAGCTGAAAATACACTAATAAAATTAAATCCATGAGAGAAGTCACTAGTATGATAGATGAAATAGATGTGAAAAGTAAGGGACTAAAAGATGGGCTATTTGATTATGAAAGGTGAGGTTTGGGGATAAAAATGGATGAAAAAATCTACAGGAACATCAGAAAAGCATAAAAGAGTGGACACTGGGCACTGGCCCTTAAGAGGGCCTGGAGTAGATAGCTTTTCAAACATCCCAATATAGGAAGATTAAATATAGCAAAACAAATTCATCTCAGCTGAGTCTGCTCCGAGATATAAGCAAGATATTGAAGGGTAAATAGAAGATTAGGGGGTACAGAAGAGGAGAAATAACACCTATGGGTGCCTCGAATCTACTGATAATGGGCCTATAGGCAGGACTCATCAGTGCTAGCAGAGAGTGGCATGTGATTTTTACAGCATTAAAGGAAACAAATTTCCAATTGAGAATATTGTACCCAGCAAAGCTATCCTTTAGAATACAGATGCAAAGGCATTGCCAAACAAAACTTAGGAGACAATAAACTGTTGTACAACCATACCTGTTGTATAAACACTAGACAAAATTCTAAAACTGAATGATCCATTAAAGAAAACATTGAAAAATATAAAAAGTCTTAGGCAAGAATAATTATGTAAAGTTAAATGTGTCCTATCATATCTTTAGGATGGAGACTAAACAACAAAACAGTAGTGACTATTAATTATATTAATTAATATAGATGTGTTTAAGATGTCACTATAGAAATATACACAATGAAGCATAGAAAGGTCAAAATGGGGGAGGTGAAAAGGAAGGGTAACACAAAAAGGTAACCACTTCCTTACTTGCTCCTAATAACTATGACAAGTTGCTATTGTTGAAAATTAGCCTGTTAACCCACATGGCATGATAACCTTAGTGTAATAGTGACACACATACATTGGCAGTAACTAGCAGGCTTCTAATTGGACTTAAGATCCAATCAACAAGAGAAAATTCATTCTTGGTACTGAAAACCTAGCCAACTACCAGGGGCTAGGGAAGTCATGGATCTGAAAAGAGAACATGTAACCACCATCTCACTAAACCAACATAATCCCCAACTACACTCTAAATATTCATCTTTAAACCCAAAGGTAGGTGTAGTACTCGCTCCTAATCAAGAAAACTTCTCTTTGCAGTAGACAGACACCATTACATAAAATTACAAACAACCAAAATGCAGTGGTGTGGTGTAAGCCAAAGTAGATACATCTACAAAACACCGCCCCACCTAAGGCTCAAGGATCATTGTGGAAGAGGGGGCAGAAATACTGTGAGAGCTAGGGGATCAAGGAGTTTGCTGGTAGACTGTCTCCTACTGACGTCAGAAGATACACCATAAAGTTTCACCAAATGACTGCCTAAACATGAACTGAACATGGAAAACAACAATAGCCATACCAAAGTTCATAGGGGAAAGACCACAAGGCCTCAACCCTACAAAAAGAACTATAGGCAGATAAAAAATACTGAGAGCAAGAAAACCATTTTCACAAGAGAAGAATACATCAATTGTTTATCTAATACCAAAGCTCAGTCCTGAAACCATACATGCAAGTAACATTATAAATATTGAGCAGGTTATATTAAGTTACACAAATACATATATACACATGACAGCAATTAATGGGAAATGAGTTTGAAAAGAAGCAGGGGACATATGGGGGGATAGAGGGGGGAAAGAAAAGTGAGAAATTATATAATTAAATTATAATCTCAAAAAGGAAATTATAATAAATAAATAAAGCCTGTTAAAAATAGGAGGGTGGAACATGCTTTAATCCCAGCACTATGAAGGCAGAAGCTGGGAAAGTTCTATATTAGAGGCTAGTCAAGTTACATAAAGAGACAATGGCTCAAAAGAACATAGCTTTCTTTAAGAAAAAAAAAAGCCTGCTATGACAGTCTCATTGATGACCAGATATCAAAAATGAATGACAGACAAATCTAAAAATAATCAAGAAATCAAAATACAATAGTTGATGTGGATATATCTCAGTGGTAGAGCAATTGACTATAAAATATATTGCTAGAATAAATAAGCACAAGAAATGATGTAGGAGGGTGTAAAAGAGTGAAAAGAAACTATGAGAAGATTGGAAAATTATTTGCAAGATGGTTGTGGTATGATTCTCACCATAAGTGTTAGTAGATCAAGTTTTCCAACTAAAAGACATAGAGTGGATGAATAGGCTGAAAATCAAAAGCAAGATGTAACTATCTGCTGCGTATAAGAAACTCACTTCATCTTCAGAGACACACATGAACAAAAGTGAAGGGCTGGAATAAAACATTTCATAGAACTGGAACCCAGAAGAAGCAGCCTAGATGAACTCATGTCTCATAAAATTGACTTATGATCAAATGCAGTACAAAGAGATAGAGGAAATAAGCCTACAGAACAATGGAGAGATGACTGAGCAAAACCAAATTGAAATTCTAACTGCATTTAATATTGGAGCATCTAAGTATGTGAAGCCAATATTAATAAACATGAAGAGAAAGGCAAATTAGTTTGTGCAACAACAGTAGGTGACTTTAATACCTCACCTTCAGCAAGGGACATATCATGCAAAGAAAAAAGTCATCAAAGAAACTGCAGAGGTAAAGTGCATTCTCCACCAAAGAACCCCACAGACAGCTGCAGAATATTCTATGTAATAGTTACAGAACATGTCTTCTCATCAGTACATAGAGCATTCTACAGAATAAATTATGTGATCAATGACAGGAAAGTCTCAAAGATTCATATAATGGAAATCAAATCAAGTGTATGTGCTGGAAGCTAAGCAGTAAAACTAAAAGTCTGTAGCCTCCAAAGGGAGGGGAAAAAACTTTTGAAAGCACACAAATAACATGGAAATGCAACAAGCTATTTGATCAAAAGTGTATCAAAGAAGAAGGAAGGGGATTAAAATATTTCCAAGCAAATGAAAATGGATGTAGAGTCTACCAGACTACCAGGAAGCTGAGAAAGTGGTCCCAATGGGGACACATATACTCAGCAGTGCTTGCAAAGAAATCAAAATGATCTCAAATGACAACCCATCACAAGGACAAACGGAACCCAAAATTGCCGGGAAAGTCGGCATGATAACAATCAGAGCAGAAGTTAATGGAATCCGGGTATAAAAGTAATTCTAAAGATCCATGAGATGGAGAGTTGATTGTTCAAGAAGATCAAATTGATAATTGATAAGCCCTCAGCCAAGAGAAGTAAGAAGAAATGGAGAAAACATGCATGAAGTCAGAGAGACCTTGAAAAAGAAAGACCTTGAAACACCACAGAAATGAAGGGAATCCATAAATTACTGTCAATAACTAGATGTCAACAAGTTTTATAGCTTAGAAAACTGAAACAAATTCCTGGACGGACACACCTTTCAAGATCAATCAGGAAGGAACAGCAAACTTCATGAACAAAGAATAAATGGGATTAAATCAGTAACAACAAAATGTCTCCCATCAAAGAACATCAGAGGGCTTCAATCCTGGGTACTACCAAGCATTTCAAAATGAGCTAGGCCCATTTTTTAATTGTGAGGAAAGTCTTGAAAACTACAAAAGCAATATTTCCCTAACACCAAAACCAGAAAAAGACTCAAGGTACTGGAAAGGAGGCATCTGTGATAAATGTAACTACAAAATTCTCAGCAAAATTGCAGCAAATTCAACCAAACAGTAGGCTGGTGGATTTACCATGGTGAGGGGTGACTCACCTCAGGGTTGTAAAAAATGATTCAATGTACAAATCAACAGTAGGATAAAGCTAAATTCTTTCATATAAAAATCTGAAACAGACAAGATTAACCACTTTCATCAGTTCTGTTCCCAGACTTTCAGGAGTCCTACTGAGAAAAAAAAATAGCAAAACAAAGAAACAAAGCAATATGAATCAGCAACAAAGTCAGGTAGTTGTCTTGACATCATATTTGATCCTGTATATGGAAGACATACATATATACATATATACATAACACATACATACATACATGCATACATACATACATACATACATACATACATACATACATACATACAATGCCAAGCATAGTGATGCATACCTGTAAGCCCAGCACGTAGGAGCTGGAGACAGGAGAATTAGCAATTCAGAGTCATCCACAAATACATGTTAATTAGAGGCCAGCCTATACTACATGAACCACTGTCTCAAAACATGCATGCATACACTCAGGCATGAATAAACACACACACAGGTTTTAGTAATCAAAACAACTTTATACAGTCATTAAAAACAGACAGATAAGCCATTGAGGCATAAAAAGCCTGTGAGGTAGAATATAAACCCATCTATAGCTCAAATGACTGTCATTAACAATACTTACTATGAATAGTCTTTATAAAAACTGTATATTTTGTTTTGTTTTTCTCTTACTTCATAGCATTGGACAACTGGACATACACGTGTAGAAGATTAAGATCAGATCCCTTAGTTTTCAGTAAATACAAAAAATAAAAACACAATGTATCAGAACTCACATATAAGATCCAAAACTGTGAAACTCCAGAGAGGAAATGCTTCTTGGCATTGGATTTCTAGGAAAAGGCCCTGAAAAGAATAATCAGCAGAATGAAGACAACCTGCAAAAAGGAGAAAATATTTGCAAATGATACAGCTGACAGAGTTAATACACAGAATCCATACAAAACTCAAAACTCAAAAGTAAAAAAGTAAGCCACTTAAGAATGAGCAACACTTAAACAGACATTACTCAAAAGAAGGTGTATAAACTTCATCAGGAATATGAAGAAACAGTCAACGGTATTGGACATAGGGAAATACAAGTCAATATCACAGTGCAATACCATCTCATTCCTATTTCAGTTGATTATCATTAGAAAAATGAAAGAGTGAGCATGAATGTAAAGGCAGGAGCCTCTGAACACTGTGCCTGGGGAGATGGAGATGTAAATTAGTAGAGCTACTATAGAAAATCCTCAACAAATTACAAAGGCATCTTTGTAGATACACACGGGGGTGGGCCTAGGCCCTATCCCAAAGGATACAATAGACTCTGATGACACCCTATGGAAGGCCTCACCATCCAGGAGGAGCAGAAAGGATATGTGATAGATAGGGTTTTAGTTGGGGCGTGGTGGTAGGGGAGAATGGGTGGGAGAAGGAAACTGGGATTGTCATGTAAAACAATCCTGTTTCTAATTCAAATAAAAAATTTGAAAAAAATTACAAAGGCAATCACAGTGTGATCCAACAATACAACTCCATGTGCAAAAATATTGCCCACTAAAGAGACAACTACACCTCCATGTCAAGAGCAGCATTAGTCACAATAGCCATGAAATGGAAACAAACATGATTTTCATTTTCACCTTGAAAATATTATCATTTTGACAATTTTACACCAGAAAAAAAAGTAAAATATAATTGTCCATTTGGGGATTGATGGAGAATGCAACTCTTTTACAACTTGTTAATGGTTCTGAAGCTTACCAGTTCCTAGTAAGAATATCCCATCCTTAACAAGTGACAGTGACAGGGCTGTAGATGTCATTCTGGGTAGTGGTGAACAGAGTATAGCTCCACAGAGTTGAACATGGGATCCATGAGAAGACCAATCTCACAGCTCCATTCTTGTATTGTTTGTATTATCTGCTGTATAAAATATGCAGCATTTACTCTAAACTGTGATAAATATCAAGCTCATTTGTTCAGTCCTGACTGCCATCTGTGTGGGTAATCCATCATGACTCTACCTTGAGACCTCATATCATCCCATTAGACCCTAACACAACTAGGATCTGTGCAAACCAGGGATCCCTTCTGAACTTCAGGAAGATGTACAAGTACAGAGCTGAACCCTCTCTCCAGACTCTCAGTCTTTATATGCATCTTTGCAAACACACTCATTCTAACACTGCTGCTCCAGGCCTGAAGTTCAGGACGACCTGTGATACTGCTCCCGGGTAGGTCTGAGACTTGTGGTTCCTGGAATGAAGTTCTTGAAAGAGGAAAATGAAGCAAACTATTTCATCTTAAAAATAACAACACACACTGTAAGTCCTGAGTTATAAATCAAACCAAATAGAAGCAAGGAGGAGGGAAAGAAAATCTCTTAAGAACTTAAGGCCTGGGCTGGCTGATAATATGGCCCAGAGAGTAAGGACACTTGCCTCCAAGACTGAAGATCTGAGTTCAATCCTGGGAATTCACAGGGTGGAAAGAGAGAACTGTTGTCCTTCAACCGCCAAATGCATGTAGTATCAGGCAGTGACACATCCCACGAGCAAACACACAGAGAAACACACAAATAACAAATAAATATAATGTAAAATTAATCCTGTCTTACATGTCCAAATACTGGGGAGGCTGAGGCCACTGATTTCCTCCAACTCCAGAGTCTTTGATCAGTCTGGGCAACATAATCAGATTCTTCTCCAAAGAAGAGGAGAGAAAGGAAGGGGAAATAAAGAGAAGGGAAGGGAAGGGAAGGGAAGGGAAGGGAAGGGAAGGGAGGAGACAGCATTGAAGAGAAGGGAAGAGGAGCTGAAGGAAACAGTGAAGAAGGGTTCAAATGTATGTATTTTTATTTTTCACTGGAAAAAATGAATAAAGGATTAAGGATGAATTTTCAGGACTAGACTATAGAATTCTAAAGCATGGGCATGGAGAGATGCTTCAGCTATTAAAGGCTAGGCTCACAACTAACCTTCAGCAAAGTGGCAGCATACAAGATTAACTCAAAAAAATCCGTAGCCCTACTATACACCAATGACACATTGGTGGAGAAAGAAATCAGAGAAACATCACCCTTACGATTGTCACTAACAACATAAAATACCTTGGGGTAACACTAACCAAAAATGTGAAAGACCTGTACCATAATAATTTTGAGTCTCTAAAGAAAGAAATTAAAGAAGATACCAGAAAATGGAAAGATCTCCCATGCTCTTGGATAGGTAGGATCAACATAGTAAAAATGGCAATCTTGCCAAAAGCAATCTACAGATTCAATGCAATCCCCATCAAAATACCAACACAATTCTTCACAGACCTTGAAAGAACAATTCTCAACTTTATATGGAGAAACAAAAGACCCAGGATAGCCAAAACATCCCTATACAATAAAGGAACTTCTGGAGGCATCACCATCCCTGACTTCAAGCTCTATTACAGAGCTATAATCCTAAAAACAGCTTGGTATTGGCACAAAAATAGACTATTAGACCAATGGAATAGAATTGAAAATTCTGATATTACCCCACACACCTATGAACAACTGATTTTTGACAAATAATCCAAATGGAGTGTGCTGGATGTCTCTACAATTTTGTTCAAATGACTGCAGAACCTGGAAAACCTGTTGCTACTATTGATGCATAACATATTGCCATTATTGATATATATATATATATATGCTAATTGAAACTCAAATATGTGATGAATCCAAGGTGTTTCAGTGTGTGCTCACCTGTGCATGCAAATTTGATTTCATCTTTAGTAAGTAGTAAAGTTATATGCTTGCCAAAAAAAAAATAAGTGACACACTGGAAGACAAATGTCACACAATTTCAATTTTATGTGTAACCTAGAAATGATGAACTCATGGGAACAGAGAGCAGAATTGTGGCTATTAGGCTTCAATGTGGGTCTTTTAACAATGGGGAAATGATTGGTTTAAGGATATAAAACTGCAGTTGACAAGAGGCATGGACTCTGTGAAGTCTTGAGGTCTACTGAGAGCATGATAAATATGGTTGATATCAATATGCTATATTTTAAAAGTTGTGAGATAGTATACTTTAAGTGCTCTCAAAACTAGAGAAAGTAAAAACTCAGTGTGCAAAAGTGGTATGTCAAGAAAACTGTATTTGTACATATAGTTTGAAATCGGTGCAGTGCAGGCTGAGCATCCTTAAAACAATGATCCAAAACATCCTAAAAGTGATGATACTTCAGTTAGACAGATGTTGAAAAGCACAGCCCAGAGCCACTGACCTCTGCATGAAACATAGGTCCTCAAAAGAAAACAGAAGCAGGAATTTTCTCAAACTAAGAAGTTCCAGGTGTTTCTTAATCACTCACTCATGGATAAAGCATATTCATAAGTCAATGTTGCTGTTTGGTTTAATTTTGTTATCAAAACTTAGCAGCTTTGGTAACAAATGAATGATGCTCGCCTGCTTAGTTGTCAACCTTACATTTTCAAGGGACAGTGTTTACCCAACAGCTGTCATTTGAAAATCCTGTAATGTTCTTTTATGAGAGGGAAAGAGCAGTCGTGCACTTTCAACCAAGTCCAAGTCAACCCATTGGACTTGGGCTCAGCTGGAATGAGTTGGAGACAATTGTTCTTACTATATGAATGACAAGTATATGTGCTGTCGATCAATCACGATTACTCTGACAGATTCTGCCTGTACCATACTCTTGATGCCTGTCAGGTGACACTGGAAGCACTTTCTGAGAGGAATGGACCCAGTGTCATTTCCAGGACAGTGACTACAGTGGCTGTGAACACAGAACAGTGGAGCTTTTGCTGCCATAGCTTCCATCTCCACAGTGAAGGAAAACTTTCAGGAATGGCTGGCTAATGTTCCCAAAGATGACCTAAGTGGTCACCTCTAGGCTTTGTTAATGACTGGTATTCTCAGCTAAGATGTATACTATCTGTCTTCCTCCCTAAGCATAGAAATGTAGGTTGGTCAAAGTCAAACAAGTGTCAAAGCCCAAGTCAGCACCAAAACATTCTCTATAATGCATCTATCTGACTAAAAGTCCCCAAGAGTGCCTGGCCTGTCTCTTCTTCCCTCTCTGGTATTTATTAGTACAGTGGTTTAGGTTGTTTTCAGAATGTGGTCTCAAAGTGAGGAAGGCGTTGACAATGCTAGGATTATGTGACCCTTCTAGCAAACACATGAAGACTAATCTTTGAACTATAGAATTTTAGAATGAAAGCAGATTGTCAAGACTCATCCACTCCCATTATTTTACCAAAAAGAAACATGGGCCAAAAAATGCAAGACTTTCCCACATCTGCCTAATCAAACAAAGGAGAGGAGGTGGATTCCTAGTAGCCCCACTGCATCCCTTTTCCATGAGAGGTGATGGTCTGTTACTAAAAGTGTTCATCCATTCATACAAATCTCAGAAAATTTGCAAGCTATAGGTGCCATCCAAACATTTATTTTTTATAGACATGACAACAAGCATTTGATCCCATCTTTCCATTCATTCTTTATCTGCACTGACAGTGCAGTACCTAGCTGACTATAAGTCTTCAGGTCCCAGTAAAATTACCATTTCAGTGATTACAAAGTAACTTTCTCTCAAACATGAGAAAGTTTCTTCTGCACAAATAAATAAATGAACATCAATGCCACCCTGTGTAACAGATGCAGAAATACATTGTCATTGTCTTCCCAGGGAAATTTTTATCTTATTGATACAGAAGGAAAACAAAATTGCTATCTGAAAGCAAATCTAGCTAAAGAATCATTCCTTCCAGAAACAGAACAATTTTTAATAAAAGCATACATACTAACTGCTTGCTCATGGGTTCTCCATATGAAATAGCTCACTAATGCAAATATCAATCTTCATATGATCACTAAGCAGATGGAAATTTTCAAAAAAATCATTATTTTTTAATAATAATGTCAGAAGAAATTAGAAAGGTGTTCTGTTAGCTTCCAGGTGGCTACTTCAGCCAGGGTGCATGCAGTCTCCAGACACAATTGGTAGGCACATGGATCAGGCTTGCGTTCTGACAACACACCCAGGCAAGGGGCATTGTTCACACTCTTTGTGAAATAAGACTTCCCTTGCACCGAACTTCAGGCACAAAATAAGATTTATTGAAACCCCTAATGTCCCCCTGGTGGCTCATGAAGTATGAGGCTCTTGGTTACAGTTCTGTCTCTGCCATTTTGGACAAGACATTTAACTTCGGGTTTATTTTTATTGCTTTTTGAAGTCGCTTTGTCTGTAGCATGGAAAAAATATTGCTAACATTTTTCAAATAATTTTTGTGTGAATAAAATTTGACAATAGTTATGAAAGTACTCTATAACACATAGAACACAAAACTGTCCACTTTGAGCCTCTAAATCCAAATGGAAGAGGTATTAATTGGCAAAACCTACATAAAATAATTCTAATTGGAAGCAGGAGCCCTCCACACATGTCATACCTTTAATTTAACAACACCACCTCTGTGAATTTGCTCTAGGGAAATAACTAGTAGTGTGATAAGAAATGCACACACACGATCCTCAAGAACAAACTATTGATAATAAATGCAAAAGCAAAGAAGCCAGTGGATAAGCCAGTTAACAACATAAATTAACACAGAAAAAGATCGGTTAAATCCAGCTAATCTATTGTTATGTCTTTAAAATTTTATTATACTAAAAAGTGAATATAATAATAAGTGGAGAAGCAGAAAAGAAAACCATGTACATTTAAGGTAATATCACACAAACACTACAGTTATAAGTAGGTATATGAATGATTATGAAAGCTGAGGCAAGGTCTACCTAATCACCCTAGGGACTAGAATTTGGGGTAATTTTCATCTCCTTTGTACTTTTCTGTCTTGCTTTCCACTATTTACTTTCCTTGTTCAAGTTAGAATAATTAAATTGGTAGTGAAAGGCAATGATGATCAAGCCTCCACAGGCATCATCTGCAGGCACACTCAGAACTACCATGAACAGAGGCTAACCAACCACGAGGCCCTGTACCAACTGTTTTTATACACACTGTGGGGTAACTCTTGCAATTTCTATGGTCAGACAGAGAAAAACACATCTCATCTTAAATATTTTGTCCAAAGACATAAACTGTTTAATTGTAAACACATCATTGATACTCTGATCAGTATGATTTCATAGCACATATGTGTAATTGCTATCTCTCCTCAAATACTAAAATATTAAAGTGTAACTAACACATTCCTTTCAATTCCAAAGAATGAAAACAATGTATGGAGGAGATTATATAATCCTTTTCTCCACACCCGGTGGTCATATAGATAAAATATACAAATAACTCACATACTGTATACATCTGTATTTATAAAATAATATGTAAATGCATTCTCTAGTTAGTTCCAATATATAATACAGTATATTATGTGTACTAGATTTAATGTATTGTGCATTTTATAAAGATTATGCTGAATATAGGTACATATTTATACCACACTCTTATGATGGTGTTTGATTATGCTGAATATAGGTACATATTTATACCACACACTATGATGGTGTTTTGTCTTCATATGTATTCTGTAAAATGTAGAAAGGTGTCACAGTTATTACACTGAAAGTATGGATGTTACAATCAGGCAGATAGAAACCTTAAGGCTGACTGTCTCATTTGGGGTAGGGGGTAAGACTGAGTGAGTTGCTTTACCTCACTCTGAAAAGCTTCAGTGATTGTGGTAACAAGAGTTATAAGGCTCGATCTTTATGAGTGCAAATTACTAAATGAAACAATGTTTATTTCAGAAACAAACAGATGCAGCAGTACTGAGAACACTTGTTGAGAACGATTTCTGCATCCCTTTCTGGTTGAAGATTTTCATACCTCTACCCTGCTTCTATTGTGATACATGCACTGTCACGGTCCCATGCAGAGTATTCTGTATCTCCCTACATTGCTCCAAAACTCAGTGGTAACTAGAAAAGGTAGGGTGGGGAATGATAGTATGACCCTATGTGACTGACACCTATTCCATCTCTGAACTGTGGTTTGGGTCTCAAATGATGGACAGTAAGGGGATCAGGTGAAATTATAGTCAAGGCATACAGTCAGTGTTATAAAGAGTTAGTACGAACCTGAGAGCTTATGAGAGGCTGAGAATGCTTCCAGTATTGGTGCTGTAACCTCTGAGAGCTGGAGAAGAACCAGGTGGCATGTGCCACCTCCAAGACTGTTCACTGGAGTTGAAAAGGCAGCTACTAAGCTCAGGTCCATAGCAACCCACTTTTCTCCACCCATTTCTACAGGACCCTTGTGCTGTGGATGTACTGTAAAGTTACCAGATGCCACAGTGGAGAAGCAGAGTCCAAATTCTAAGGCCCATTTTACCAACAAGTCATTTCCATAGCACTACCATGGAGCCATTATTCCAAGGAACCCAGTGCCTTAAAAATGTAGATGAGTGAGTTTAATTATTTAGGGACCAGAAGGAAACAGAGAGAGAGAGAGAGAGAGAGAGAGAGAGAGAGAGAGAGAGAGAGAGAGAGGATAGAATCACATAACTTGAAGAATGTGTTCTCCATTAGTATATGCTCAAGGTTTGTGATAGGAAGCTCATGTACCTAGCAACATGTGTACCTAGCACAAACGAGTAAATAGTCTATAGAAGTAAGTGCTTTGGGATAAATAAGATTTATCTCTATGAGATTTTTATTTTACTTATTATTTGTGTGTGTGCATGCAGGTATGTGAATGCCACAGTGCACAAGTGAATGTCAAAAGACAAAGTGCAGGAGTTAGACCTTATCTTCCACTAAGGTTTGAATTCAGGTCTCAGTCCTCTGACAGGCATCTTTAGCCATCCAGCTGTCTTATCAGCTCAGGACTTTCTAAGCCATTATTTTCAGGAACATTTTACTAAGTTATGCATATTTTCTGTTTAAATTCTTTAATAGGATGGAGAACATATAAGTAACATACCTCATGTTTTACAGAGAGTAAGTGCGATAAATTATTTGCTCTTAATTCAGAGAGCTCATCCTATGGCTGCAGGGAATGTCCACATCCTCACTCAGTCACATTGCATCTGGTCCTTTGTCTTTGAACTTTCCAACTTTGGTCAGGGACTCACCTAGGGTAATTAAATAAATAAAAGTGTTTACTTATTTTAAATTTTCTTTTATCACCTCCCTATTCGGGCATGAGTTCTGACCAACTCTGGCTTATCTCTTGTTTGTTTTCATCAGTGGTTGGTCTTTCCCAATAACACATCTGCTTCTTTTCTCAAATGAGGGTTTAGCTCCTGAGCACACACAGAACAATCTCAGCAAAAACTTAAGAGGCTGGCTGCACACTCAGTGTGGCTTTTTTTTCCATGTTTACAAACAAACTTGTTCATAGATTCTCAACCACTCTGCAGATGTTTCTAAAAAGTTACATGACTGGCAAATTAAGAGTAAGATTCCAGTGATGAAGAAACAAGAAAATAAACAACCAGGAAGTGAAGGAAAAAGCTTGTAGATTCAAGATAAACACCAGCCAACCACAAGCCAGAGGGTGCCCCGGGGCAGCAAGGCAGGGAGGCCAGAGAGAAGGGGCAGCTAAAGGGAAAGAGAGAGTTCCATGTGCTTGTGGTCGATTAAGAGCCCATGCTCTGACCTCACCTACAGGTGTGGTCAGGCACACCTGTAGCCAGCCCTTAGGAGGTGTGGTTACGGTGTCTCCCTACAAGGAAGTGCATAGTAGAATCGGGAAAGCACAGTTGATGAGCACTGAGCCCTGGGTGAGTCCTGCCCTGTCAAATGCATTAGAAAGCTATTGTGTAAAGAAGCAGCAGCAACAGTGTTAAGCTGGATTTAGTGAGCAGGTGGTTTAGATTTCATCCTCTGAGAGCATCTCCCCGCATGCTGTCATTCTACCCTTACCTACACTCACAAAGAGACAGCTTGTGGCATGGCTCTACCTATCATGCATCTCTTCATACACTGATCACCTACTAAAGTTTAACCCATTTTCAGTTAACAACTATTAACTCAAAACACAGCTCTCATCTCAATGAGAGTAGGATTATTTATTCTGAAGCTAAATATGAGTGATCACAGCCTAGGAAATAGATTCAAGTTATTCCAAATAGCATGTTCCAACATGGAAACAGGAAATTTTTATAACTATGTTTCAAATACATTAGGGGGAACATGGGGTGGAACATCCCACAGCATGGGAAATTATGTATGTGGCTCAGGTTTCAGATGCTACCTGATAACATACTTACCTGTAGGGTTGGTAGAAGCCAGATGTCTATTAATACATCCCAGAAGATCTCGTGTGATAGTTACCATCCAGATGTTACATCAGACATGGAGGTAGGCAATGGATGGCTATTTAGAGGACCAAAACATAAGATAATCAGAGGCCTGCAACATTCCAACTCTCCAAAGCCACGGAGCTCTAATCAGTCAACCAGTCTTGTAAACTCTCACACAGTTGTGGTTTTGTTCCTGAGAACTCACAGTCTGAAAAAGAAAATCTTTTCTAAACACTTATATTTGATATGACTAATTTTATTAATTAACTTGAATTACTTGATACTGGAAAATAATGCAGATCTTGACATTCTAGAGTCAGGAAGCCACAAAGCCATTTAGTTAGCAGGGAAAATGAAGCCCTGCCCAAAAGGGGCAGTCACAAACTTGTGCCCTCAGACACACTGTCATTTATTGCTAAATTATGTCTTGCTGCCTAGGCAAGAGAACTGTTCAAAAACATGGTAAAAAGATTTTATTATTTTTTTGTCTGTGTGTCTTTAATCTTTATATTCAACAGCCTATGATTTCTTTAAAAACAAAACAAAAAAAAAAACAACAGCAAAAACAAACCATGGGAAAAACCATACTGGCATTTATGTTCATTCAGCGGTACTCTGCAAAGAGAAAAAGAACATGTCACTTTCCCCAAAAGATACAGCTACCTGTTTCCACTGCTCAGGTCTCCTTCCTCAGGGCAGGGAGTGGAGCAGAGGGGAGAGGAGGGAAGGAGAGGGGAGAGGTGGGAGTCTAAGGTAGAGCAGCATTGAGGTCTGTCTGTCACTGGCTGACTGCAGCTGCAGTGCACAGCCCAGTAAGAGTGTGGAGCCCACATTCAGCGCTTCACTGGAAGCCTGCAAGTCCTTCCTAGAGTCCATGAACTCAGCAGGAGAACCCAACAGAATCAGAGCTTGAGTTTTTGCTGTGTCCAGATGCAGAGGGTCTGTGCATTCAAAACATGGCTGGTCCACAGGACATGCTGGAAGTATAGAAAAAAATGTTGGTTCTACTGGGCTAAGCCACATATTTCACTAATGCTTTTAACAATCACAGTAAAGCATTCTGAGAAATGCAATAGCATAGGAAACTACTGGTTAAGTAGTTTCTAATAAGAGAAGTTTTGCCCAAAGTGGAAACGATGAAAATAGCAGAGGGGCCCCGGCTTTTAGTTCATGGTCATGGAAGCAGGGGCAGAAGACGAGTAAGAAGAGAAGGGGCATGTTAAGGGTAGTGGGGTGTCGAGAAGGATGTATAGGGATATATGCATATTAAAAATGTCATAGTGAAACTAATTACTTTGTTTTGACAACCAAGTAATAGTAGTATAGTAGTAAACAATGATAGTTTTAAAACAAAACAAGCCTAACATTCCCTAAACACTTTAGCGCCTTCAGTGTGTATGGCTGAGAGTACAACAGGTATGCAGATGAGGTGTTTCTCATTTTCTCAGCCAGTTAAAAAATAACAGCTTAGCCTTTCCAAAAAGAGTGCCTGTCTCGGACTCTTATTAGTTGACTTAAAACAAGAAAGCAATTTACAGTGTTGAAAATAAATGTAGAAAACAATTGTCCTGTCATCACAGCTTGCTCAGCCCATCAGAGCCTTCTGACTGGTATTATGCTGGAAGTGTGCCTTAGATAATATCTGATTAATGTAGTTCTTTTTATTGAAGCACAGAGCGCTGATTATAATATACAGATTTCCAAGCCACCTAGGTAATTACAGGCCTTAACAGCAAACTTGGTGCTTTATCCTCGCCAAAGGAAGTTTCATTATCCCTGTATTATCTTGCACACAGAAAGAATTTCCTGAAGGTGACCTTTTTATAGGTGGTAACCATGGTAACAGATTTCCAGCCGCTAACACTCTGACACTACTGGTGCACTGCAAATGTTGGAGGGATGTTACGGATTGATGTTTTGGGTTGCCCTCGAGAGACACAGCTGCATAAATGCTTACCAATTTGTGAGGAAAATTTTAAAAGAAATTTAAAACCACGGTTTCTGTTCCCTTGTTAATCAGAAAGATGATTTTTTTCCTAAGATCTTGTTAATATACACAGGGACTGTGAGAGTAAAAATAAAAGATTGAAGAGAAAATTTATTCCTTACATTATTTTTAAATAGGACATTCAATGCATCAGGTAGTGAGAGACAAGCACCCCTTTGGGTCGATTCTTTGCTTGAAAGTACTGCTGGAGCCCTGAGGAGCTGTAAAGGGTGAATCTGCTCATCAACAGGCTTGGTGGTGCAATTCTAAGAAACTGTAGCTTCAGCACTTAATTCCAAAAGAATTAGGAAACTTTCTAGGTAAGTAGCAAAGTTGGAAGGCAGATCTGCCAATTCAACCGCATCCAAGACATCAAAAAGGTGAGTTAGGACAAGAAATTTCTAGCTCTCTTGATCCATGAGTGAAGAAAACACATGATAGGGAGATGCTCAGTTTCTGGTTCCCCTTTAATCGGGTTGACTTAAGTGATTTATTTCTTTTTTGTTTTTTTCATTTTTAAAGAATTTTATTTTACATTCCAACAGTAGCTCTCCCTCCTACCACTCTTCCCACCACACTGTCCTCCTCCCACCCTCCTTCACCTCCCCTACCATGTCCCCTAGCCCATCCCCAGTCTACTCCTCATGACTAAGGGCTCCCATGAGGAGTCAACATAGTCTGGCATAAGAGGTTGGGCAGGGCCAACCCCTCTCCCATGCATTAAGACTGAGCATGGAATCCCACAGTGGGGAATGGGCTCCAAAAAGCTAGCTCATGTACTGGGATTATATCGTCCTACTACCAGGGACTCCTCAGCTAGTCCAAACTTCACACTGTCTCCCACCTATAGAGGGCCTAGTTTGGTCCCCTAGAGTCTCCACAGATGTCCGTCTAGAGGTCTAGAGTTCATGAGTTTCCACGAGCTTGGTTCAGCTATCTCTGTAGATTTCTCCATAGTGATCTTGACCTCCCTTGCTCAGATGTTCCTTCTCCCTCTCTTTACCTGGATTCCCAGAGTTTGGCCTGGTGCTTGTTAGTGGATCTCTGTGCCTGTTTCCATCTATTACTGAATGAAGGCTCTATGATAATAGTTGAGGTATTCACCAATCTGATTACAGGAGTAGGTAGGCCAGTTTAGGCATCCTCTCTACTATTGCTAAGAGTGTTTTAATATCCAAGTTCATTTCTAGCCCCACATTATACGAAACAAGTCATTTCTTCTGCATGAATCATTCACTAATAATGCTGTGCATTTCAGGCACAATCAGATTTTCTCTTAATGCCATTGTTTCTCCACTTCTGATACTTCTGTCCCTTGTTTGGGGTGTTATTTCTTCTAAGCTCTATTTATGTTAATCTATTTATTTGCATATTTTCATCATTTCTGCCCTTAATGAAAAACACAAAAATACATGTGCACACTCTAATTTGTGAAGTGTTTCCTTGAAGGCAATATGGCCTATTTGAAGATACCTTTTCAAGTTTTAATAACCTCAAATTTCAGAAAGAAGAAACCACAATTCGTAGAAACTTGGCACCAGCAGAACAGAGGGGGGGAAGTGTAATCTAAGAAACAAAAGAATTCAAGAAAATTGATGAACTTCTAGGAAACATAACAGAGAAGATAAAATGTGGTTGATCAGTCAGATGTCATGTTAGATCCCAGAGATATCAAAAGGACAGCAAGTAAATACAGATGTCAATGTCACCACAGAAAGTTGACATCTTAGGCACCACAGACCATATAATAAGAAGTGCAAATTACCCCACTTAGTCAATGTGAAGAAGTATCTGTTATCTCCCCTGTAACAATTAAGAAATTTTAGTTTATGATTTTAAGATTTTATACAGTAAGAGTTTAGTTTTTACATAGCATTAAATAAGCTGCCAAATATATAGTGACATTTGTAATGACAGTAGCCTAACAAAAAGAAAAACACAAGACTCATTCTGAAATGCAAATTAGGAGTCATTGTACCTTTCCTGGAGAGAGAAAGGTCCTAAAACAATGTGTACAGCTTCTTTTTCCTCTCCATTTTTTATTTAAATTAGAAACAAGATTGTTTTACATGTCACT